CAAACTACATCTAAAATGTGTGCATTTCACTGTATGTAAATTATGCCTCAAAAAAGTTGATTGAAAAAATTAAATGTGACCAAAAAACAAGACCTATATACTTAGCTATTCTCAGTTATTTCATAAAAGAAATCCCCAAAACAAAGAAGATATAAAGATGGTCCTGTTGAATTAAATACATTTAAGTTTAATGAAAAGCTCTATTTTTCTCATTTTAAAGCCCAGTGATAGGAACCTTCTCAGGACCCATCAGAGATCAGAAGATGAGCATTTGAGAACCTCCAAATTCCTCTCCCTGTACCCTACCTGGAACATTCATTTAACGATCCTTTAACAAGGCTCAGGACTATTTCATGCCGCAATGAACAGACCTGACTGGAGCTACCAGACTGGGGATTAAAACAAAAACGGCCAAGCAAAAGGAATGGTTTAAATAACTAATCAATTCTATCTAAGAAAAGAACAGGACGTAGAGGGAACAGAACGGGCGAGGGAGAAGCAGCAAGAAGACCTCCGTGGAGCCACACCTCCACGTGCCCTCATCTTCCTCGGCTCTCTGGGGCCTGCCAACTCAGCCAGCGGAGCCTTGTACCTAGTGGGCCCTGTGTGTTCACGAGTCAGCTCAGCCCCTTAAATGAACTGGAGCGACCACCAGCAAGTCACACAGCTCAACAGGGGTCTAATGCCAGGAGGCGGTCAAGACCCTGCCCTGCTGGTCACAGAGGACACAGTGCCTTGCTATGTGCATCAGGACCCCAGAAGACCTTTAAGACCATCATGGGGGAAGGATGGAAAACAAAAATTGATTTTTTTCTTAACGAGAAGCAGCAAAGATTTTTCTGAAGCATAAAGTGCAATAATATAAAATATCTATATATATTAACATCAGATTTTCCTTCAAAGAAGATCTAAAACTAAGTAGAATAGACTCTTAAAAATAATACTTGTTGGGGCCAGCCCAGTGGCATAGTGGTTAAGTTCACATGCTCTGCTTCGGCGGCCTTGGGTTTGCAGGTTCAGATCCCAGGCGCAGACCTACCCACCGCTTACCAATCTATGCTGTGGCAGGTGACCCACATATAAAGTAGAGGAAGAGGGGCACGGATGTTAGCTCAGGGCCAATCTTCCTCAGCAAAAAGAGAAGGATTGGCAATGGATGTTAGCTCAGCACTTATCTTCCTCACCAAAAAAAAAATACTTGTTACCTTACCCTTCTTAAAGCCAATGGCTCACCAAAAGAGGAATTTAGTAGTAGCCAAAATACTATGCTAAGTGTGACAATTTGTTCTAGAAAACATTGCGTATGTATGAAATATTCAAACGATGGATGGAAAAGGTTGGCATACTTACTTTTTAAATTCAGAACACGGAGGGGGAATAAAGAACCAAACAACAACAACAACAACAACAAAAGCCCAAAACCCAAAACCTTCATAAAGACACAACTGCACATCAAAGTCATTAAGGGGATTCCAAAGGTAAAATCTCCCTCATTCCCTATACCTTTTTATTTCTATTTATTTGTTATTAAACAAACACTTATCCAGCACTTAGTACGCAGCAGACAGTGTTCCAAGCACTTCACATACATAAGCTCATACACCCCTCACACCAACCCAGCCAGGCAGGTTTCACTACCCCATTTTACAGATGAGGCACACTGAGGTTGTGACTTGTCAAGGTCACCTGGAGGAGACTGGACAGGAGATCGGTGCACCCAGCACTATTCCAACAGCTACACCTTTGCTGGAGCTCCACCACTTTTGTTCGTTTTGTTCAGGGGAGGACAGTATATTCACGTCATGTTTATTTCCACTACTGGGCTCTGATACTTCTGTGATGGGGTATCCACACAGGAATGTGTATCCCCTAGCAGATCTACCTGTAAATGCATTAAGTGGCCCTTCCTAAGGGGAGAACTAGGAATCTCCAGGCAAATGCTAACAGTCCATTCCTGGTGCTAATCATTACAGCACAAAAGTACAAAAAGGAAGCGAACAATGACACACTTTCAGAACTTGGCTTTGATAAGTTCAAAGAAAGCTAAACTTTTTGGATTTGGATTTTATGTATTTTGAAGTGAAAGCCTAGCTTTTGAAATGCCCCATATGATTTTCTGTATTTGGTTTCCCCAACTTGCCTTTACAGTAGCATCTTCACAGTTTTGGCCAGATCTGCATAAGGCCTGGACTATATTATTTGCTTGCAATTTTTATTTAAATCAATTCAGTTTAAAAAAAATTAAATAGCTTCTTTATCCATGTCTTAAGTTCTATGCATGAAATTGATTTAATAGTTACATTTTATTAACATGTTTATCTATTAAAATAAAATAAATCTATGTACCAACTAAAATCATTGCACGTCCTCCAGTGCTATGAGTTCTATGTTTTGGAGAATTCGAATTCTGAGATGGTGAAAGTCAGTCTTTACCCTCTAATTTAAAAATTGGTTCAGCTACTATGGAAAACAGTATGGAGGTTCCTCAAAAAAATAAAAATAGAACTACCATATGATCCAGCAATCCCACCGCTGGGTATGCATCCAAAGGAAATGAAACAGGAGTTTGAAGAGATACATGCGCTCCCACGTTTACTGCAGCATTATTCAGAATAGCCAAGATATGGAAACAACTTAAGTATTGATCAATGGATAAATGGATAGAGAAGCTATGGTATATATATATATACACAATGGAATACTATTCAGCCATGAGAAAGAAAGAGATCCTGCAACAACATGGATGGACCTTGAGGGCCATTATGCTGGAGAGATAAGGCAGATAGAGACTGTATGATATCACTTATATGTGAAATCTAAAGTCGAACTTATGAAAACAGGGAGTAGAATGGTGGCTACTGGAGGCTGGGGGAGGGGGGAACTGGACACGTGCTGTTGAAGGGTACAAACCTGGAACTAGTAGGTAAATAAGTCCTGGAGAGCTAATGCACAGCATCATGATTATAGTCAACAATACCATATTGTAAACTTCAAAGTTGCGAAGAGACTAGATCTTAATTGTTCCCACCACAAAAAAGAAATGATAATTATGTGACGTGACAGAGGTCTTAGCTAATGCTACAAAGGAATTATGTGATGTGACAGAGGTGTTAGCTAACGCTATGACGGTAATCATATTGCAATATATAAATGTAACAAATCAACATGTTGTACACCTTAAACTTACACAATGTTATATGTAAGTTATATTTCAATTTAAAAATATGGAAATAGGGGCCGGCCCCGTGGCTTAGCGGTTAAGTGCGCGCGCTCCGCTGCTGGCGGCCCGGGTTCGGATCCTGGGCGTGCACCGATGCACTGCTTCTCCAGCCATGCTGAGGCTTCGTCCCACATACGGCAACTAGAAGGATGTGCAACTATGACATACAACTATCTACTGGGGCTTTGGGGGAAAAATAAATAAATAAATAAATAAAATTATTTAAAAAAAATATGGAAATACACACCTTCAGAAATTGTTTTTATATATGTAATATAAGGTTACATATATGTATAAATGGAACTCTACACACACATACAGTTTTGAATGGCTTAGAAAAGGAATTGAGAAGGAATTAGCATTAGGTCAGGGGCAGTGGGAAGTACCAGATCAAGGACATGGTATAACATTTTAATAAGAAACTACAGAATCTGGCCAGTAAAGTTCAAACCACCACCACCACACAGGCATCATATCTTCTCAACAGAAACCTCAAATGTATAAATTAATGCCCAGGTTTTTTAAAAAGAGGAAAACTCAGTATGTAGAAATAAGAATCTAAAAACCTGATCGATTAGAAAAGTTACTTGCGTTTTTTCAGGAAGACTGAAAGAACATGCAATTCCAAAGAGGGGCTCCCCCAGAGCCCAAGGACTCCCCTGAGGTACATGGCAGGGGATGGGTGGGCGGTGAGGTGGTGCTAGCTGCAGGCTCCCTCCACCCTCCCGCCCCCCACAGCAGCTCCAGGCTTATCTGCTTTCTACAGGGTCCTTCCTCATAAGATACTCTCTAAACAAAGGCTTCAGCTAAGAAGAAATTTGGAAACCACTAGGGTTGTCCGATTTCCTCATTTGCCAATGAGGAAATTGTGGCTCAGAGAAGTTAGTTAAAAGACTCAGGGTCACTCAGTAAACCGCAGTAGAATCAGAGTATAAAGAGTATCCAGATTCCCAGTCTGGTGTTTTATGTGACCAAGACCACCTCCAAGAGCACCCTCACACGGTCAATACTGATGACTCTGCTGAACATCATTACATCAATACCTTCACCTATCCTTGAAAATGAAGAAGTGTGATTAATCATTAATTCCTTGAAGAGGGGATGGTGGCCAGCAATATTTAATGAAGTATTATGAGTCAATGGAAATAAATTAGAAATAAGATGTCATTATTTCTGAAAGTATGATCTAAGCAAACGGGCACATCCCTTCCTGAAAAGTTGTATAAATCAAATAATGCCTAAAACAGATTAGGAAAGCTTTCTATTTAATAATAATAGAAACAAACAATGCAAGCAGCAGCAGTAATAATAGCAATAGCTATAATTTATTGTTTATTATATACCAGAAACTAGACTCAGCAATTTATATGCACTGATACCCCAGTGACATAAATATTATTACTCCCATTTTTATAGATAAGAAAATTGAGCCTAAGCCCACACGTAGGGTGACCAACTGTCCTGGTTTGCCTGGCACTTTCAGTGCTGAAAGCAGGGAAACCCTGGGCAACCTGAGACGGTCGGTCACCCTACCTGTGGGGCTGGTAAGTGATAGGAATATCCATGTCTGCCTGACTCCTCAACTACCACTACCTTCTATGGATAACTTCCTTCCATGTGCTACAGTCTAGACTTTGACATACTGGTTTAAAGAAGGGCATGACCAATATCTTACAAAACAAGATAGTCACATGCAGCTTCATCTCCTTTTACAAAAAAGACAAAGCACTGCATAGCCAAAGCCTTCACTCCTCCAGAAGCAGAAAGAAGGGACACTTACCTTGACCTCAAACTCGAAGTGCTCATCCTTCCCTTGCCCGCAGAGAACATAGCGAGGAATACTAATTTTAATTGGGTCCTTCAGGTCGTCTGGATTTGCTCCCAAAGAGCGAGACATCATCCGCTATCAAAGGCACATCAGACAGGGAGAACAAAGAGAAACCAACATCATTCCGCTGCAAATACTCTGTTTGGGCGGGAGGACGGGAGAAAATGTGTTTCAAGTAGAGAAAAGAGCATCAAATCAGCAGAGTTTATTTGGAAAAATGATGGTTTCCTTTGAAAGAGAAATGCTAAGTCTCTCTCATAACAAAAGACGATTTCTTTAGGGAAACCATTTCAAGAAGTTAGGGCGAAAGCACTTCAAAATGTTGTTCAGCTTTGAAGTTCCTTCCAGTTTATAAGAACAAGTGAAAAAAAGGACAGATTACATATCCCGACTTTTAAAAATATCAGTGTAAACCAGATTCTTTTCTGAAAAGTCTTGAGCATCTGAGAGTTTCTTTTTCTTCACAGACTATCAGATTGCTCTACATAAAGCTCCAAAAGCTGGAGATTTTATTCAAATTTACTTCATTTTGAACTGCTAGGCATTTTCACAAGGCAATGTAGTGTGGAAAGCTCTTTAAACCACAATTAAAACAAATGCCAAGTATTTTCTTTAGGCTCCACTTGATTAATAATCAACCTTGCTCTGACAAATCTATTTATGATGCGGATGGTGGGAAGCCAGAGGGGCTGAGGAAGAGGCATTGGGAAAAAAATAAATCTTCAAAATGAGTTCTCGAGTGTGGACGGGGAGAAATCTCTGAACAATCCTTATCATTTGCACTAACCTGGGGCTTTAGAAAACATAAGAAAATATGCTTTTAAAGCAGTAGCAGTAATAAAATAATTACAATCATAATTATAGTTAGCATTTATTGAATACTTACTATATACCAAGAACTGTGCTAAATAGTTTATATGCATTGTTTCATTTAATACTTAGAATCCCCCTGTGAGGTACTAACCATTATTAACCCTATTTATCAGATGGGAGGCCCAAGGCTGAGAGTTCAGGTAGCTTGCCGGAGGTAAGCGGTAGAGCCAAGATTTGGGCTCAGGCTAACCTGGAGCCCACCTATGTCACCACTGTCTTGTTATCATGAAATTTTAAAATAATTTCATCCATCTGAGATAAATTGAGCTAATGAACACTTTAACATACACATAATTTAAGAAGATGGCAACTCCATGATTGTGCAATGAAACTCACTTATTTGACTAAAAAGGAAACAGTAGGCAGTACACTCCCATTCCCTCAGGCAGAAAGGGGTCCTGGACACTTGGATCTTCAGCCAGGTGTAACATGGAAGGTCCAACCTAGCTGTGCGTGTGTGTGAAAACTCAGATTTCTGGATTACATAGAGGCATATGATTTGTCTCAGACTACTGCTGTCATCTTGCTGACAGTGTAAACATTTTGGCATGATATGAAGTTACCAAAGCCTTTTAGAGCATCTTGATTTTTCCCTGCATGGCTGGTTATCCAAAATAAGAACCGTTCATTTTATCGCAATGGTGTACCGATTTAGCCGTCCCTGATGTCAAAAACCGTGGTGGAAATCTTAAAAAGTTTCTCAATATGTGCATTGCCAAAGATCTTTCAATTCACTGACAATATATTTCCAAATTACTGTAAAGGTGGACATTTCCTGAAACATGGAATATGTTTATCTATTTGAAGGTGAAAAGGAAGAGAAATAATACAGTTGTTTTATTTATTTTCAAAGAACACATTTAATGTTAAGAAATGTCTTTGATCTACAAAGCCCATGGTTTAGCCATGAAGTTCTTGCTCTGTTGCTTTAGTCCTATAACATTCTATAACATGCTTAATAACTATATTTTTCAGTAAGCAACATAATCTCTTTTCCAGATCTGACACAATCACTTGAGAAGTCACCTTGTTGCAGTGTGTGTGTATTTGGAGATGGGAGTGGAGAGTTGTGGGGTTTGTGAGCACACGGCAGCTCAGAACGACCTCAGCAGAGGGGAAGCTGCTGTAGCGCTTTTAAGCAACAACTAGCAACTGATAATACTAGTTTATAAGTAAAGACCCACTCACTCTACCTTAGGAGGAACCTGAATCCTCCCTGTTGGTTAGACCAAATGCCAACACTGCAGCTGATCTGGTGAGGAGCTATCTCTGTACAGTTACAGGCTCTGTCCTAAGAAGCAAGAATGAGGAAAAGCAGGAAAGAAGATGGGCAATTAAATCTTTTTCCTTCAATCAATTGTAACAGTGTATTACCATGTGTATTATGAGTTCTTAAAAAGGTGGGATGACAATATCAACAAGTCTAACACATTTGGTATTGAAACTCCACCATTATCTGCTTCCCTGAAGCAATCACAGAAAATGGACGTGGGATTCCATGTGGTGTGCACTTCAAAGACCCAGAGAGAAAGGGAAGACTCAGAATCAAACCCTAGCTTTATGACTTGGTCCCTGAGTAATGGTCACCCACTTTTTCAGCAGCTCAGTTTAGTCCTCTACGGAAATGAACACGATATTTACCAAATCCCATCTAGATGGCAGGAACCCAACTGTGAACAAGGCAGTGTCCCACTCTGTGGGACTTTTGGTTAAACGGAGACTCTGACAAGTAAACTGATAATCACAGCAGGATTAGAAAGTTGTGAGTGGGGACACCAAGTGTGAAAAACTACGAATACGTACATTGCTCCCTAAATGCTGTGACTTTCACTGAGGAAGAACTGCAGTCAAAACCACCCAAGTGTAGCGTTAACTAAGCAATGGAGATTTAATCTTTGTTTTTTTTTTTGTGAGGGAGATCAGCCCTGAGCTAACATCCGTGCTAATCTTCCTCTTTTTGCTAAGGCAGACTGGCCCTGAGCTAACATCTATTGCCAATCCTCCTCCTTTTTTTTTCTTCTCCAAAGCCCCAGTAGATAGTTGTATGTCATAGGTGCACATCCTTCTAGTTGCTGCACGTGGGACGTGGCCTCAGCATGGCCAGAGAAGTGGTGCATCGGTGCGCGCGCGGGATCCGAACCCGGGCCGCCAGTAGCGGAGCGCGCGCACTTAACCACTACAAGCCACCGGGCCGGCCCTGGAGACTTAATCTTAACTTTCTAAATGCCTTTTCTTATGGGCACCCCTAGGACACACAATCAAACATTGGTATCTTTTATTGCGCACCATGCGCCATGCACAGGGCCGGGTCCTGGGAATACAATGCAACTTTTACAAAGTATATGTAATTTGTAAGGCCTTTAATTTTTTCCAGCTGCATTAAGTTTTGTATCAAGATTTGGTTTTTCCACTCTAGATGGATTATATTCTAAAGTTAGCAAATGCTACTCTAACTTTCTTTTTTTATAAAAAGTCAGCTTTCAAGTGGGATGAGAATGTAACTGAGAATCTGGTAACTACATAGGCATTTTAAAACTGAGAAATTGTCTAAGAATGTAAAATTGTGAAATCAATTGCTAATGAAAAGAAAATTGCTCGAAGCTCAGGCTCATAGATCCTGCCAAAAAAAAAAATCCCTGCCTTCGATAACTTAACTGGGTATATGAATTAAGTAGGGACCAGTTATCTGGAAGGAACTGGATCTGATAATATTTACATAGCTCACCTAAATCTAGGACAGCCCCTTACACGCCAGCACCTACAACTCAAGAAATGGTTCCAGGTGGGACACAAGTGCACCGCCCTGATCAGGACCAGAGAGTGAGTGTCACTGAATCCTCTGCTGAGAAGGATATTTCCCTTCATTATTTTGATCTTGGGGACTAGAAATGTTGTCAGAGTCCCCCGCTATCATCTGTGGCCACAGTTTACTTCAATCTCACTGATTTCATAGTAACTAAATATTTACGAGTGTAGAGAAATAAACAACTGCAGAAATGAATAACTGAAAAATAAGCCAGGGATCTAAAGACATCTGACAAAAGTATAAATAGAAAAATCAAACAAGTATGTGCTTCCATTTGCAATGTAATTTTTAGAAATTAGTTTTTGAAATCAATTTGATGAGAAATGCAGAATTCTCAGAATACAGTGTGAAAGGTTCCAGACATTCTCTTATACTACGTTTACATTGGGCAGGAAGGAAAACTAACATAAATGCCTCCTAAATTTATTTTTTATTTGAAAGTAGCTACATTTTGAATATCTTGAGTTTTATGCTAGACAAGTAAATGTGTGCTATATCATATTATATCCTATTATTTATGGAAGTTTTTAATTTCTATGGAATTATTTATTTTGGAATCAGTCACAGTTTCTCTATATGTGGCAAAGAAGAGTCTTCGACAGAAGAGGAAGTTGGTGGTACATTGCAGAAAGAGGTAAAAAAAACAAGGAATCCTGCACGTTCAGAAGCACGTCTTACAGCAGAGCAGATCTGGCATGGATAATCACGTAGGACATTTTGAGGAATTTTAAATGCACTGTGGAGCGGTTATTTAGAAATAAAAGGTCAAGGAAAAGTACATAATTAGTAACTTGGATTACCTTCTGTAGATAATAAATATCTTTTAAAATAAGATAAAAAGAAATATTTTTCTGATAGCTTTAAATGAAATAATATCCCGTGTCAACAAATACTCTATTTTCCATTGTTGGGGAAACGCTATAGTCGGGTCCTCAGCCAAAAGAAGCAGGCAGAACACAGGCCACATCCTGATTATTCAGATGAGAATCTTCTCTTCAAACTCAGGCTGTCTCCTTCAAAAAGGGCAAATTAAGGAAATTAATAGGGAGTGGCATTAACATGCACTCAGATCACTGTCGGAACTGCAGAGGGCACGGAATGGACCAATTCTACAGGGAGTCGTCAACATTTCCCCCTAAACACTCTAATTATGTACCAGATGGTTGAATTCAGTATATGCTTTAACTATGACAAGGTCAGACCTAAGGACTGCTGGCTGATCTCCTAGAGGCAAATATCCAAGCTTTGCTTCTAAAATGCAAGCAAACCTGGGTTTTTATCCAATTTAAAAGAAAAAAATTAATTGTCCTTTCTCTGTTCCTAGCATAGCATATATTTCTAATCTCTCCTTTTTTCAACCACACACACCATAGTGATAGTTCTAATTAGAACTCCC